TCATAATTTCCTCATATATTACATAATGAAATTGACACTTCCCTCACTACTATCCCATATATATTTGGGGGAAAGGAAAATGAAAATCTGCAGCATAAACTTTCAATACAAAAGGCTTTATAGTAATTCATTACTCCAGTGCCACCACAGATGCCATGTGCATATATGCAATGTCCACTGTGAGTGTAGTTTCTTAAATGTCTTTACACAGAGATGGTTCCCAAAATATTAACTTACTAGTGAGCTAATACTAGTACATCTCACATGTTTACCCTTTTTCCTTGATTTTTGGAAATATTTTCTTGTATCTTATATTGCCATTTGTAATGTCAATTACATCATAATCATTATAATGTCTATAATATATTGATAGCATCAGCAATTTTTTTTTTTTTCAAAACTCTAAGACTCGTGACATCAGGTATGTGAAGTATTCATACACAAAATTTTAAAAGAAATTAAAACATTAATATTAATATATTAATATATTAATGTGATGACAACAGGAAAGCTAGAGAAATAATAATCTGTTTATTTGACACACAGCCTTTTAACTTTCTGGTTCATTAGCCAACAAGGCCTCTGAGTGTGGGAAAAAGAGGGAAGTCAGCCTTTAATCTATTCATCTATTCACTTCATTAGCTAAGGAGCTTTAATTTTGTTTGATTAAGTGTTTAAATAGTGAATAACATAATTTCATTTGTTTAGCTAAACATTTAGTTCTTGATTCTGAATTTTTTCCTTTCCATACATGAGATTTCCTGCATAAATTGAAAATAAAGAAAAGAAGACACAGAAATGTTTGACTCAAGGACAGTGACCAAATTTTTCCATCTCAATTATTGTTCATAATGCACTATCAAGTCCTAAACTGACTGCAAAACTCATTACTGTGATATGTCAATTAGTGTGGTGGTACACATTATCAATGAAGATTTAGCTAGTTGATGGATACAGGAAGTTATGAATAATAAAATATCTTCAAAAGACAAGGCAAATTACGGATACTGAAATGGAATGTTATTGATTACTAATTCCAGTGATCTGAAAATGAATTGTCTTTGAAGAATATTTTTATTATTCATAACTTCCTTATCCCATCAACTGCTAAATCTTCATTGATAATGTGTACCACCACACTAATTGACATATCACAGTAATGAGTTTTGCAGTCAGTTTAGGACTTGATAGTGCATTATGAACAATAATTGAGATGGAAAAATTTGGTCACTGTCCTTGAGTCAAACATTTCTGTGTCTTCTTTTCTTTATTTTCAATTTATGCAGGAAATCTCATGTATGGAAAGGAAAAATTCAGAATCAAGAACTAAATGTTTTAGCTAAACAAATGAAATTATGTTATTCACTATTTAAACACTTAATCAAACAAAATTAAAGCTCCTTAGCTAATGAAGTGAATAGATGAATAGATTAAAGGCTGACTTCCCTCTTTTTCCCACACTCAGAGGCCTTGTTGGCTAATGAACCAGAAAGTTAAAAGGCTGTGTGTCAAATAAACAGATTATTATTTTCTCTAGCTTTTCCTGTTGTCATCACATTAATATATTAATATATTAATATTAATGTTTTAATTTCTTTTAAAATTTTGTGTATGAATACTTCACATATCTGATGTCACGAGTCTTAGAGTTTTGAAAAAAAAAAAATTGCTGATGCTATCAATATATTATAGACATTATAATGATTATGATGTAATTGACATTACAAATGGCAATATAAGATACAAGAAAATATTTCCAAAAATCAAGGAAAAGGGTAAACATGTGAGATTGTACTAGTATTAGCTCACTAGTAAGTTAATATTTGTGGAACCATCTCTGTGTAAAGACATTTAAGAAACTACACTCACAGTGGACATTGCATATATGCACATGGCATCTGTGGTGGCACTGGAGTAATGAATTACTATAAAGCCTTTTGTATTGAAAGTTTATGCTGCAGATTTTCATTTTCCTTTCCCCCAAATATATATGGGATAGTAGTGAGGGAAGTGTCAATTTCATTATGTAATATATGAGGAAATTATGATGCTTTGCATAAGAACGAGCTCTCATAGGGAAATTTATTTACCAAGGGTTGTGTCTGGTAAAAAATCTATTGAATGGCACTATCATAGACTAAATTCAGGTATTCAGTTCTGACATTCAGAATTGAGTTAAGGGAAAGAGTCATCGGTACAGGCACAAAATTCCAGTCCTCCTCGCTTTAGTTTTTTAGCAAGGTCAAAAAATTTTTTTACACAATGTGCATGGATATGTGATGCTTAAGTACAAGAAATTTGATTTAAAAAAACTGCATAATTTTTTCGCTAGAAAAAAAAAACGAGCGAGATGATAGAATTCGAAAATTATGTAATGGCTTCCTTATAGTTAAAAGTACTGCAGTTTCCTTCTGACCAAAGTTAGTCAACAAATAGGAGTACCAACTGTAGCATTTATGTAAATCTATCTGAAACGACAATGTTTCAGTTACCTTTTTTGTCAAAAAAAATCGCCATTAATTTTTCAGTAAAAAATGTATTTGGTGGAAATAATGCATGACTTAGCTTCAGTTAGTAGATATGAACTGGACAATCATTTTGCATCTAGAATTATTAAAATCGCGCAATTACATACAAATATTAATACATAGCCTCCTTTTTCAAATATGAGTTCAGTGAACAGAGTTGACTTGTAGTATGAAATCAAAATTTCTTTGAGAGAGGTTGATTAGTCTTCCACAGCTCCAATATGTGTAATTCTCATATGTATACCAGAATTGGAAGGATTTTAACCAAAAATTGACAGTCATATTGCATTTCATATCCTTATGGTCAAGTTTAACCCATTGCTGCATGGAGCATGTAATATCAACTGTTGTTCTGTTTTGTAAATTTTGCTTGCACATAGATGGCTCTGAAAGTGGTCAGACACCAATGTCAATTAGTAGGCCTACGTGACCTCATCTGGTTTCCCCTTACTTTTAGGTTTTTGGACAGTTCTTCCCAATGCTAAGACCCATACTGTCATTTGTAATATTTGTATCATGACAATTATAAGATTATTAGAGGACTAATACAAATTGAAGGTAAACATGTGAGCTAGAAAGGACGTATAGTTGACTAAACAGTCTTAGAGCATCTATTGATAAACAATAAATAAACGAAAATCACAGTGGACATGGCATGTATATACATGCCATTTCTGGCTTCAGTAGGTTAACCCTTTCTCGCCGGTATATTTTGAAGCCAAAAATAAAAGATTCTGGGCGGCTACAAAATTGGCAGGCGGTGCTTCCCCGGAGTCTGTCCACCTTTCAGCCATGGCCCGCTGTTGCGTCAGGGCTTGAGCCCCGATACAGCGCCACACTGGCGGGACAACCATTAATGTTTATTTTTTCAGGTGTCTCATATATGGGACACCCATTGTTATTGGGTTAATGTTGTATCATATGATTATATGAATAATGAATGGTTTGTGTTCTTTTCGTCAGTTCAAACTTGTCACAAATATTTAAGGCACAGGATAGTGTTACAGCATCCGTATTCGCTTATCCATATTCTAGAGTTACGGCAGTCCACTGCGTAAGCGCATAATCTGGTCACTTTGACAATTACTTACATTTGATGAGGCCTTTTCCCATTTCCAACCTAAATTAACCTAACCTAACCAAATTAACCAACCTAACATATCCTAACCAACCTAATCTAATATACAAAAACATAACATAACATAACATAACATAACATAACATAACATACATAACTAACTAACCTAACCAACCTAACAGAACCTAACCAACCCAATCAAACCTAACCTAACATAACCAACATAACCTAACATAACTGGTTAGATTAGATTAGATTAGGTTAGGTTATTCACATCACCCGCCATTTTTGTAGAATGTAAAACCAGAACCCAAACAGTACGCACATGCTCAAAAGGCACTGCTGTTGCATGAGCGCAGTTGGTGCTGCTTACGGCTGCCGTAACAATAGCAGTGCGAATCTTTAAATCTGTGTGATCAGAAAATTCAGTCTGTTTTACTGTTACTTTTGTGCTTATCTGCATTTTGATGAGAAAAATATGAAATATTTGAGAAGGAAGAAAACAAAAAGTTTATAGTTCTATAATTTATTGAATTGCATATGGCTTAGCCTATTGCCATTTAGAGTGCATGCATACCAGGCTTAAGTTTGAACGAGACGTAATGACTCATGCATGCTTATCTTTATTCAGTTACTAAGAATCAAGCTAGATGAGGGATAGTATCTGATTCAGCCCTTATTCTTTCAATTGCTTGTTGCAATTGGATTTCCTTTTAGCCACTTGCATAGAACACTAAGTTGTGTATGTAATTCTTTTTAGCACATTCTTCAGTGTCTTGGCCTATTAATTAACTTGTTGGATCTGGTAGCATCACAGCAAACACATGGCTGAAAAAACGGGCAGTGAATTTCGTAAGTGGCCACTCTCCTGGGCGTGCAGTGTGTAGGCTGGGCATGTGCAAATACTAGTGAGCGGTGACATGATTGTGCCTCCAGTTTGCAAAATGTTTTTGTGTAAACTATTTTAGCTCTTCAGCCATTTTCCAATGTTCATATTTGTCTTTTGATTTGCTTTATCCAGATGGTAATAGATTATTTTCCTTGCACAGACTTCATATTATCTCTCTAAGTAGTTAATAACTCAGTGCAAGTGGGGAAAAAAATATGTAACATTTGTTATTTGTCATATATCAATTTTTTTCATAATTTTCAATTTTATGTAATATAACCAGTGCTGTCTGTCACAGTGGCCAGGAATATAAGCATGATAATGGCATCCTTCTTAGAGCCTGCTCTCTCCATTCACAGCCTGCATACATTATTACATTCCACACTTGTTTATTAATATGAATACTGCTAAAGTCCCATGCTAAATGCCAAATGAGCCTAATCACACTCTAAGAGGTTTGTGCACTTGTGGCGAGTCTTTTCTTACAGCCTGGCCTTCACCCATGATGGCAAGTTTGCGTCACCCAGCCCATGGCCATTTTAGCAGCATGTTTACATCACCTGACCCTCAATCTAAGTTTATCCATGACAAGACAGTCACATCACTCAGATCATAGGGGTTAAGAAACTTTGTATTTGAGCAGTTATCCCAGAATGATAGTATGTTCTTCCCTGTCTGGGGAAGGTCTTACTTTGATTACCCCCTCTTGCAGTAGCTACTCAGTTGATGTTTGATCATGTTATCATGAATCGTCTTCAAATGCCCGGTGACAGTTAACCACGTCATGCATGATTGGGACTGCCCCAAATTCTGTGTGCTAAATATTTGTGAGCTTTTTTATCCCAGACTGGAGTAATTGAAGAGATACTGCCATTTTTATTATTATTATTGCCAATTATTATTATATATTAGTTTAATGGTCTGCAGTGCTGTCCACAGCTTGCTAGTTTCCTAGAAATACATACATGATATTCTGTTATTTCAACTCTATACCAAGGTTGAGTCATGAGCCAATTTTGAAATTGGTGCAATTTTTTATATTTTTTATTTATTCACTTTTTGTCAGAAATAAACTGCTCTTGTAACTTTTCAAGATATGAAAATGCTCTTTTGAATTGACTGATTTAGAGGCACATCAGAAATGAATATCTTAGACAGTACTAAAGGCCAGGTGCAATAGCCATTTCAACTCTGTACAGACCACATTGTTGGCCAATTTTAACATTGCCTCTAGATTTTTTGGTACCTGGACAGGTATTATTTTAGACCATCATTGTCAATAGAAATTTCCTACATTTCCGAAATCATGAGTTGATCTTGCAATGCATTTGTGGATAGTTACCATTTTCAAATAAAACCAAATTTAAAAATCTGACAAAGTTACGCTTGCCGGAAGTTTTGTGATCATAATTTCCTTATATTTTTTTGAGTGGCCGTCTGTGTGCAAAGCCCTCCCTTGGCACAGTATGATGCAGGGAAATCCCATCGTGAGTGGGTAAAGGAAGTACTAATCATTATTTTACGAGCACATATTCCTTTTAGGTGTTGGTCATAGAAGTATAAGCCAATTTGTCATTGATGATCATTGATTTTTCATTGATGATTCATTCCTTTTACATGTTTATTGTAAATCTTATTTTCCTCCAGGTCCAAGAGAATTCTCCCGGCCAACTAGCAGGATTAGAAGCTTTCTTTGATTTCATTGTTGCTATTGGAAACACAAGATTGGTAAGAACAGATTATTCATCAACCTTATAGATTGTTGTTTAATACTTGCCATGATCTGAGATTGATACTGATGATGGAACCAGAATATTTAGATATATCAGGTTGTGCCTAATAATTTCATCTTCTGAGATGTCTTACTCTATGCACAATTAACCTAATCCTGGTTTTGAGGATAGAGATTGTTTGATGGGAAATTAATTTGTTTAAAATCTTAATTTGCAGGATCAAGACAATGATACGCTGAAAGAACTCTTAAAAAGCTCAATTGAGAAGGAGCTAAAGATGACTGTCTACAGCAGCAAGACCCAAACTTTACGAACAGTGTCTATTACCCCTTCCAACCTCTGGGGTGGACAGGGGCTGCTTGGTGTGTCCATCCGATTTTGTTCCTTTGAGGGAGCAAATGAGAATGTTTGGCATATACTTGTAAGTTACTGACAAAGCTCTTTGTTTTGCTTGAATAGAAACCTGTGGTAATGTATGTTTGTATACCAGTTAATTTGTAAAAGTTACATAGCACCTCTTTTTCAATCTTACAGGAAGTTGAACCAAACTCTCCAGCTGATATTGCTGGCCTCCAGGCTTACACAGATTATATCATTGGTGCTGACTCAGTCCTGCATGAGAGCGAGGATCTCTTCTCACTCATTGAAGCCCATGAAGGTCGACCACTCAAGCTCTATGTGTACAATGTTGACACAGATGCTTGTCGGGAAGTGACCGTCACACCCGATACTCAGTGGGGAGGGTCTGGGTCTTCTTTCCCTCATAAGTCAACTTTCAGAGAACGTTGGAAATCTAATAATGGTCAGAATGTTGGGATGGATGATATGTAGATTGAATGTGGGATATGTTGCAGGCTTTTCATTTTATTCATCTTTTGAACTCGTTTGCTTCTGTAGTTTTTTGTGAATATTGTTGCAGAGATGACTCCACAAGTGCTCAGGCACCAAGGAGTCAGTTAGTGGGCACCTGATTTCCTCATTCCTTGAACTTGTGGAAGTTCCACTCCAATGCTATTGATATAAATACTGTTATTATTATTACTGACATTATGTTTGTTATAATGTTATCAAAATACTAATAACAATGAAGGTAATAAAGGAATAAATAAAGAATCGTAAATAGGGTAAACAGGTGAGACATAGACACTTATGATTTGACTCATTGGTAACAAAGCATTTGTGGAGCCATTAATGCATTAACTAAAATTACAATGAGCATTCCATCTGTTTTTGACATACAGGGGCAAAGGGATTTAACAACAAATTCCTATAATGATTTTCTCCCCACATATATATTTACTTTTTTATCTTGTAGCTTGGGATGTGGGATTGGCTACGGATATCTTCATCGCATTCCTACCCAGCGTAATGTATCCCAAACACCACAGCCCGCTCAACCAGAGTCTGTTTCTTCATCATCAGAACCATTGTTACAGGTAAGAATTTTCTTAAGCATAAAAAAGTGAAAGGTTCTTATTGAATAATTTTAGATTTGAATAATTTGAGCACTGGTGAGTCAAGTAGTTTGGAATTGATTCGTAAACTGTCTTCTGATAATGTTGATAAGTGTTTATATGAGATCATCAGTAATTGATAAGATAAGTTAGATGAGAAACACTTTTATTACTCTCATTTGATTCTATAATACATATTACTTTTATATTTTTTTTAGGTGGCCACTGGAAGCGGTGTAGATACAGTTGTATCAAGTATAAGTGATATGAGTTTATCGGAAAGCACAACGACAGCAACATCTACAATTCCTCCACCCACTGCCTTCACAGCAGCCCCTGAAGCTAATCCAGCGTATGCTACAGCCACAGCAACTGCTGCTACAACTGCTGCCATGCCAGCTGCTACTGCTGCTGTGCCCAGTATACCACCTCCTTCACCATTCACTCAACTCCTATTCCCCCCCCTGCTGAGCTGCCAGCAAGTCTTCTCCAGTTGTTCCAGTACACCTTATTCTCAGGCCACTATTGCCACTACATCATCCAGTCCAATTCCTCCCCAAATCCAAGCATCTCAACGCCATGCAGCCACCAATGCAAGTCTCCACTGAGATACCAATGCAACCGATGAACTTTCAGCCTTCACCCATGCCACAGCCAAGCCCCTTGATGATGGGTGGTGCCCCAACTGTCCCAGTCATGGCTCCTCCAGTCATGGCTCCTCCTCATAGGGGGTCTGAAGGTAGTGTGGGCATGTCTCTGCCTCAACCACCACCACCTGCTCTGAATCAGTACTTCTCATCACCACCTATGGTCACCCCACCAGTTCCTCCCACTTTTGCAGGTTAGTATCGATGTGTGTCTTAACTTTTTTGAAGTCAATGGACTCACTTGTAGATAAATAATATGATTGCCTGAAAAGAACTATGCATGTCAAGGTACCCTATAAGTAAATTCTTGTTTAAAAATGAAATTGAATCTTGAATATATTTTTTATGAGGAAAGTAAAAGCAGTAATGTGTGTCAATTTAGGTCATTAAATATTTTCAAGAACTGCCTTTTAGCACATTTTGGCATGATTTTTCAGTCTGTTTGCCACAATAATTACTTTTACTGTTAGTTCACTTCTGTCTGTTTATAATTGCATATGTATAGCCTTTTACAGTGGACTGTAATCACATGCACTTTTTATTCACAACAAAGTAGCCCAACAGTGGTTTTAACTATAGATTTAGACTTTTTTTTTCTTGTGCCACTAGCACCATCAATGCCATCAATCCCAGGAATGCCAGTGACTACCCCAATTAATCTCCCTGGGATGCCCCCAATCACAGGTAAGCCAAGCTGTTAATGTAGCAGTTGGACGTGTAGTTAAAGCTATCATTGAAAGTCTAAAACTCGAGCAATTACCAGTTTTAGCTGTGACGGATTTAATGCATTAGGTTAAATAGAAAGAAATTCTGATTTGCATTTTTAACATAATTATTTCATTTCATAAATAATTCCAATATGTCACACTTGCAGGCAGACATTAATGTAAATTAGACATTAATGAATATCAAATTCCCCTGTCCTTTCAGTAAGTGCCACGTTGCCACCAGAGTCATTCCAAGGAATCCCTAGCAACCCACCTGCCACTTCTCAGCCAGTTCAGTAGATTGTTAACCAACCCACTTTCTAGAATGTAAGCAGTTATTAAAGTGAAGTGTATTGGACATTTAACCATTAGTATGTACTTTAGGAAGGGAAAGCATCATTGTAATAATTTACAAAGGGAGACATGGAAAATATGTATCCATAACACTACTGTCTCTGAATCTAAAGCTATATAAATATCTGTAGTTGTATGCTCCAAGTTTAAAATTGTTTACAGTGACTGTTACATATGTAAAATTTTCAGATCAGAAATTCTTTTACACTGGAAAGTTTGTATCAGTCTTTATTTCTTAAAGTGAATAAATGTTGGTGGATTTGAATAGGCTAAGATCAAGTAAAACAAGATCTCTTTGGGAATTTCCTTGCCAAAATGAAATGATAAGTTTCATTATATAAATATTCCATATTTTATATTCATGATATTTGGAGAACCAATAGTTATTTATGTATCCTTTTTTTCTTACTTTAGAACTTTTTACATTGTGGTGTTATGTTTTGAAAATTTATAACTGTTAGTAATCCATTAAGTCTTCAGGCTTTTTTTTTCATCATTATAATTGTTTTGTCTGTATGTTTTATGAGCAGTGACTGTTCAACACTAGGATGTTACCATTAAACTGAAGCTTATAGACTTTCATGTATTACAAAACTTTGCATAGTGTGGAAAATTTAAGTTTGATATGCAATTAAATTTGATGTGTTCTTTGGAATTCAGCTTGATGAAAAGGGACACTGTTTTAAAACAGGTTGTTTTGGTGCACATTCTTTCAACAAAGATGCTCTATGTGATGTTCTGGCACTATGTGAGCATTTAAAATTTTAGAGACAGTAATTGATAAACTATGTAAAAACAGTGCTACCTAGCTTTGAGCTTATTTTGAACAAAGAAAAAACATTTTGCTCTAGCCTGTATGGGTAAGATTTTTGTTAAACCTTTCAAAATTGATTATTCATTTTATAATCATTAACATCTCAAATATTCTGAATGTGATATCCTTCAATACTAATGCAAGTAATAATGAGATTATGTGCATGTTAGCTTTTTGGTGTATGGCTCAAAATTCTGTTACTTTCTTTTGTAAATACTTGTATAAATGAACATATGATTATTGAGGTACTTGAACTTTAATTTTGACTTTAAATTTGTGTGTAGTTCAGTAAACATGCCTTACCAATCCCTATTTTTCTTATTAATTCTGCAACATACCAAAGAGTAATTGAGGAAATTTACGATGGTTACTTTTTCAAAGATGTCCTTGACTCTGTGAGAATTAATTGATCTTCATTATATGAATATATTATGTAAGTATTATTTTTTTTTCCATTTACAGTAAATGGAATTGGAATGAAACCCAGGTTGTAGAAAAAATCTCTTAAGAACCAAAACAGAGTTACTTTAAGGCTCCACTTAACCCTTTGAGGACAAGAAATAGTGTACAATTTTATTCCTTTTGATCTGATGGAGAGCAAATTTTGTTTAGCATTTATGTAGCTTTATAAATTTTTAGATTTATTACAACTAACTGGTTGTAGAGGTAGGGTAAAATACTAATATAAATGATTATCTCAGACTTTGCAATTTATGTGAATGATCTAAATGAGAAATTCAGTTTCATTCATATAGAAGTCAGAGAGAGAGAGAATGTTACAGTGAAAACAGCATTAATTACAGTTCACTGCCATCAGATTTATGAAAAGTTGTAATAGGTGAAGTATCATGTTGTTTCATTACAAGGCAGCTTCCCTATATTTAATATCTTTTTGAAAAAGCACAATTTAATACTCAAATTGTTGGAAGCACAGCCAAATTACCTAAGATTGATTTTTCAAGCGAAGTGGGAAGATTTTAAAGGTAAATTTAGTTGGGAAAAGTTACCTATATATACATATAGACAAAAGACTGACGCTTGTGAAGATTTGCACACTACCGAATAGAATACTTATAGACTTCAGATATGATTTTCCAATGGCATTATTAAAAGTTAATATTACCTTTATTAACAGACTTATCATCTGATTCCAAATCTGGAGGAACTAGATATTTCTGAAATAACTGCTTTAATGGTTTACACAATTCTCATTGCAGCCAAAAATATATATGATTATATTTTGAGTATAACTCTATAGAAAAGAAATGCAACAGGTAAGATACATTTTCTCTATAAAGCAGAATTGGAAAAACAGTGATTACTATAGCAGACCGCATCTCCTCAAGGGGTTAAGGAGGATAGTGGATTTTCAGTGCTATTCAGTTGAAGAACCAGTGATATTTTTGTATGTTATCATTACATGTACTGTCAAACACCATATGCTGTAACCTGTTAAAGAAAAACAAAAATTATTTATTGAACTTTTCATTATTTTCTTGTATCTTCAAGTGCCTACTGGCATGACTATGTAAGGTCATTTGCATACCTTTGAGTGGTAATATGATTTTTGTAATTTTCTGAAATGTTTCAACTTTTAAAATTATGTCTCCTGATGAAATGCATAAGAAATATTTTTGGAGAAATGGAAAGGAACTGGTCACCAGAAGCAATCACCCTGCAACTCAGAATTATGTAGCACTATTATGAAAAAAAGTACTTAGGTTGAGCCTCCACCTGAAAGTTTTCCTTTTTTCACTAATTTTCATACAAAGCCATATCAAAAGTTTAGGCATACAACTCTGATGCGGAAAAAAGTTAATCTCAAATGCCAATAGCATTAATAATTATTTAATGTCTTATGATTACAGAAACTTGATAAAGGTTCAAGAGGTATTGCTGCCTCTGCATTTTTGGATGATTTATGGAAGCTATTTATATTTGTGGCTGGTAGCATTAGTCCTCACAAAATGCAACATCAAAGTACTGGTATATTTCATCTTACAGCAAATATTTAGTTTGGTGTTAGATTAGGTGTTGTATTTGAAAATTTCATGCAAATTCTTGTTGAGCTTTTGAAGTTGCTGGTTATATAAAACATGTGTATATACAGAAAGTACGGTGTCAAATTTTGACGAGCTTTTACTATGTCTGTACCTCAAGCTAGAAAAAAATATTTATATATTGTAGCACTCAAATTTGAAAGTTGCACCATTCCCTCTAGGAAATTAAGGGTATTTTGCCATGATTTCTGTTCAACTAATAACCCAATGTAAATCATATTTGTTTTGGTGTTTTGTTACTGCCTTTAAATTATTTTGTGTAAATTGAAAACTGTCTGCAATCTTCTTTTTTTCTGTAAAAGCCTGCCCACACAAGCAGGTAAGATCAGTGGGTTCATCAACGGGGTGGCAATAGTAAAGGTGACATCACAGGTGAGAGAACAACGAGAAAACTACTTGTTTACCAGTTAGTTTGTCCATCTCTATTTGTGCCAGCCCATGTGCTTGCTGATCATCCCTGCCTAGTGTGACAGGCCTTAATAGTTAAACTCCACAAACAATTTCTTGTTTTATATATAGATTATACAGAAATAAAAATCTTGTTTAATATATTGAATAATATACATTGCATTTCAATTCCTTTTTGGTTTAGAATAAATTGGGGATATAATAAAATTTGGTTTTCAAGTAATGCCCTTGTCCTTTTTTGTAGCTTTTATGTACAGTACAGAAATACTTTAGTGATTACTTAATAGTTAAACTGAGGTTTGTGGCATAATTATATTAAAAATAGAATTTGTTTGATGCTTAGAAATAGCTATGCATATCATTTTCACTAGATGAATCTAAATAATTGAATATTTTACATCTAGAAATGGAAGTTTTGAGAAAGTTTGTGTATAATATTTTTCATTCTTCAGAAATTAGTTGAGCAATAAACTGTAACTCTGAAATTCAAGTTACTTTATATAGTTTTACTTGGTTTGTTTCTTTAAGTAAAGCAGACTAGAATGTGTTAATATGTTACCAAAAGTATTTTCTAAATTATCTATAATAATGTAAAGAAAGGAATTAAATTTATTTATATTATCAGCTCCATTTATATTATTTACCTAGTGTTTGAGTTTTTTGTGGTATACACAAGACCAGTCACAAGTAACTGATGTCATTTTTATAACTATAGTAATAATAACCACCTATAATTCTTGGACCCATTAAGTGTGTCAGCTTTTATCATTTGTATTTTGCAAAGGTACCTCAATTAAGTAGATCTGAATGCTAGTTTCTATCAGCCGGTTTGTTAAAATTGTGCAAGGCCCAACCAAAAAAAATATTTGTATACTCGAAATGCATAGATAAAAAAAAATAAATGCAGATTTATCAGTCTAGATACAAATATATATAGCTGATAGATATACATTTGTATATTTAGACTGATAAATATGCATGTCTGTATTTATGAAAATTCATTGGGTCAGGCCTTGCACAATTTTAACAAACCGGCCGAATATCTCATTTGGGAAAATATGATAAATTTGGTGTCTAATTTTTATCTATTGATAGAATACCATTTCTGTAGATAAATTTTTATTAACCCAGATGACCTTGAGCAACCACTTTCTTTAAATTTGTGACAATTTAGTCTGAAGCTTTTGGGCCTGTGTATAAGGGAGTTGAGGGCACAAAGAAATTAAACAGAAAAAAATATCATTAAATAAATACTTCATTTGCTAAGAGATCTCTCTCTTATTCCCCTCCTTTTTTTTTTGTTTTTTTTTCCCCTTTTTTTTTCGCCGTATTATTTATGTTGTTTGTTGGAGGGAGGAAGGGAAATTTCTTTTTTTTTTCCCTTTTTTTAAAAACCAGATTTGCACAGTAAATTTTTTTTATATTTTTTTAAATGATATTTTTTTTATAGGATTGTTCAATTTTCTTTGTGCACGCACACTCCCTCATCTACACGGCCCAAAGCTTTTCAGACCTTAATTGTCACAAATTTAAAGAATAGCTGTTGCTCAAGGTCATCTGGGGGTTAATAAAATTTATCTTACAGAATGGTTACTATCTATATAGATAAAAATTAGACACCAATTTATCATATCTTTTCCCAAATGAGATATCGGCCGCGTTTGTTAAACTTCGTGCAAGGACGCCCTGGAAGCCCCAATAGATTTTTCATAATTACAGACATGCATATTTATCATGTGTAATATACAAATGCACAGCTCGGAATTGTCACATACCTCCCTCCCGCATCGCCCTCAAAACCCAACCCTCCAACTCACGGTCTCTTCCCACTCTGCTCTCCCCTGAACACCCCCATATCCCACCATTCCTCAGTCCGCCTCTCTCTCTCATGCTCAAGTTTATAATCTATTTACATGTCTGACTGATAAATCTGCATTCTTCTCTCTCTCTCTCTCTCTCTGCCTCTTTCGAGCATATTCTTTCTTTGGCGCTGGGCCCCTTGCACAATTTTTAACAAACCGGCTGATAGAAACTAGCATTCAGATCTATTAATTGAAGGTACCTTTGCAATAAAATATAAATGATAAAAGCTGACACACTTAATGGGTCCAAGAATTATAGGTTGGTTATTATTACTATAGTTATAAAAATACATCAGTTACTTGTGACTGGTCTTGTGTATACCACAAAAAACTCAAACACTAGGTAAATAATATAAATGGAGCTGANGTCAGATCCAAGAACTCCTCATCTGAAGCCGGCGCCAGGGCAGTTAATTTCGGCAGTGATCTGGATTATGATCCGGATCCGGGGAATTTTTTTGAAGAATTAATGGCCATTGCGAGATACGGACAACCTAGACTTTTTGGCGCTTAAATTTTGTTACTCTCATAATTATCTCTGTCATTATTTATTTACGTTTATGCCAAATCGCGAGTTTTGAGCGTTCTAGAAAAAAGGGTTCGAGACTAGGTAGGA